AAGAATGATCAAAACGATTTCCGAAATTAATTATAATACGCATAAGTGGAAAAAAAATTTTATGATTAATATTATTTATAGTTATCTGTTCCAAGACTGAATCTCTTTATCAGACTCTTATATCATCATCTACTTCAGCTCCTTGATGTTATCAATCTGTTGTATTAAAATTCATTCTAGTTTTCGATGAATTTTGTCTTATTTGTAACTTGTCACATCATTGATAAATACTCATTTTTTAAGAGTTTTACGTTGAATTTTAAATCGCCTATATCTATAAGTGTAAATCTTATAGTTCTTAAAACTTATCCTTCAAATACAATCCATAATTCTTATCCGTCCAATAATAGTCATACATGATATATCACTATTAATTAATAAAAAATACAATGATACAAAATGGGCATTTTTCACGTTTTATCACATTAAAAATTTATGTCTTTAAAAAATATGTTTCCCACAATGTTTTATTGCGAACTTTAATCTTCTAGTACGAATCCCATTGAATATTGTTGGTTGTTTTAGGTGCCACATTTAATCAATATAAATCACATTTTTAATTGAATAACGTTATATTTGGTTTAGTGATTTACATTGTGGTTTATTTTCATCAAATATAAAGTACATAGTAGTAAAGCTACAAGGAAATAGTTACAGAACAAATTGTTGGGTGTTTTGCCAGTAAAAAACTAATACCTTTTTATAAAGGCTTTAAGGGGTGTTATTATTATAAATATAAGTTTAAAACACCATAATATAAGAGCTGAGGTGGAAGGCACAGAAAAAGTGTTTGTGTATAGACAATAAATGTTTCCTTAAATAAACCTTATGGTGGGCAAAATCTGAACAAAATAGATTACGTGATAAGTAGCGAAAAAATTGCCCAAGAAATGTCAAGAAAATACATGAAAAAATTGATTCGAAATAAAAAGTAGGATGAAAGATCCATCCTTTTTCTATTTGCTGTTCGAATGGTCCACGTTTCAGAAGTATACTCTTAACATATACCTAGACAAAAATAGTAATTCAAAAAAATCTACAGAAAACGGCTTCGGCCACCAAAGAAATAATAAAACATTAACAAAAGGCGCAAGCCACGAAAAAAACAAACAAAACCCAAAAACGGACAAGAAGAGCCCATACACTCGAGCGCCTAGTCCAACTGGACCTAGCTCGGAGCGGAGAGTCGGCACCTGATCAAACAATACAATTCAGTAATGTCATTGCAATAATTGTTATCCCGATAAAGATAATAAACAGTTAATATTCAGGCATTTGACTGTTAATTTATTATTATTTTTTAATAGTTATGATAAGAATGCTAAGTAAGCAATATTTTAAATGATATATATTCACAAAACGTAATTGATATTGTTTTATACAAAATACATAACCTATTAACGTCATATAAGGATTATTAAAATCTGTAAAAATTAGTGACAACTAAGTCATAGGAAAGTATGAAGTAACTGCTACAAAACTCACAATATCAGACAATTAGGCTGCTAAAAAAATGCAGTAGGACACTCTAACAAACGTTAAAGTATATTCTACAATTAATTTGTTATCAAATTGAGTGAATAGATGTAATATTATTCAATAAAATGGTACCTGGTATCTCTACAAATTTAAAAATAATGACTTAGTGATTAACAATTATTGTCGCAATAAAACAATCCGGTTTCCCAATCCAGTAAAAGGGGCGAATGAAATTATCATTCCTTAAACTACAGTGTGGAAGGTAATCAAGCATTATAAGGAAACATAAAGTATCTTAGATATAAAAAGGTAAAAGCCGGGGTCGTTTAAAACTAGTTTCTGATAGAAATAGGAGAATATTAGTAAAAAATTACAAAAAATGTAGAAGACATACTCTAAGGCAAGTTACAGCTGAATAGAATCATGTAACTGGATTAAATCTGTCAAGGGAATATTGTCGCAAGTGAAAATGTAAATCTGGTTTAAAGTTTTATAAGGTTAAATTACAGATAACAGCTTATAACTATATACTTATATTTTAATATATTTTCTTCTATGCAAAGGAGAAGTCACTGTTAACTGCAAAACAAAAGCAAGCCAGGCTCATTTGGGCAAAATCTAAACTTTCTTTGTCGATAGAAAATTGTTTTCGGGTAATTTTTAGTGAAGAATCAAAATCCTATGTATGTGTTGAAGATTCCCGCAAACAAGTTATTCGTACTAAATATGAGGCTATTGGTACCTATGAACCTTAGTACATCGGAATGTTGGAACCTCAAGAAAACCGTCAAAAAGTACATAGATGCATTAAAGATGTTTTGCTGAAGATGTATGCTGAAAAAATATTCCTTTGACCACAAAGAAAAAATACTAAAGTAACTGAACATCCAGAGGAGGTTAAGGCTGGGCCTTTTTCCAGTTAATTGATACCTGTTCTTCTTTCCAAATGGCATTTTTTCATCATTTGTGGTTATTGGATCTATATCATCATCTTCCATTCTTTGGTTCAACAGATTCAAAAGTTTTTTTTTTCTTGATAGAAGTGTGTTTGTAGCATCTCTTGGAAATATTTTCTCCAGCTATTTATTATTTTATTTTATTCGGTGAGAAGTTCGCCACTTTTATTCTTTATGTTTTTTATGTCTTGCCTTTTTCCTTTTCTCATTGATTTTAAAACTACATAGAACATTTTCTGATTTTTTCTTTATTGTTTCTTCCATCTTATTTTCAAATTGTATCCACTTGTCCTTTTTGCTTTTGTAACAAATTCTTTTACTAATCTTCTATATATTTTATATTTTTCATAGCTTTCTGGTGATTTTTTTTAAGTATATTTTCCAAGCATTTTTCTTTATTTTAATTTGTTGTTTTATTACAGTTATTCATCACTGATAAAATGATAGAAAACATTGTATCTAATACAAACAAGTGTATTAAATTAAAAATGTACAAATATTGAAGAGACAGAGATTGTAGAGAAGTATCGAACTCTTTGGAGCTTTTCTTCTTATTTGTGTTAAAAAAGGAGCATATTCAAACTGTGCCGAGCTCTGGGAGCTCGGCGCAGTCTGAATACGGAACGGGAATTAATCTATTGAATCGATTGAAAAAACAAGATTGTACTATATCCTTCCACGATGCATGATGATAATTATATGGACAAAGAAACCAAAAAATCCGTTGCAGATTTGGATTATAAGGCTACAAAAGGACGGGTAGATACCGTCGACCAGATGGGTTCATCCTATAGTAGCTCCAGAATTACCTGGAGATGGCCTCTTTCACTATTTTATAGACATCTAGATATAGCAGCAATAAATACCATTTAATAACCTTGATAAAAACAAACGACGAAGAGTATTTTTAAAGATCTGGCATATGAACTTATAAATGACCACTTAAAATTGAAAGCAACACTAAAAAATCTTCCTAAAGAAATTTATGTTTATTTGAAAAAATATAGAGATAATGACAAAACCGTTCAAGACATTGTAAAACCTGGAGTAAATGGAAAATAGCGATGAGTATGTTTTATTTGTAATCATAGGTAACTTGTTTGTAAGGGTAATAAATTAAATTTAGAAACTAAAAACTTATTTTTCTTTTTGGTAAATACTGAAGAAAACAATGAAATGTCTTAGTTCTAAAGACTATTATGACTATTAAGATCTAAAATCGAAACTATCTAATACGGTGTGAAAGCCGCCGGTGAAAACCGCTCTGCTAAAGCCATTTTTCAGAAAAAAAAATAGTAGTCACTTTCTAGTTTGGACCCCTTCTCTAAAAAAATGTATTAGTTATTATAAATCTAGCATTCTTATGCCATTATTGTTTCCAGCTGTTTCTTCACATTTTCCTATTACCTTATTTATGATTTTATTTTTAGAATATAAATGTAATATTCAAAATGAAGTAATTAAACATAAATACAAAATAATATTGAAACTATAAAGTGAATAAATTCTATACAAATTTTGAAAATTACTGAAAACATTAAATAACATTTTTAAACAAAAATATTAAGATTTTTTAAATCTTAAAGAACTTATTGTGTTCATTTTACAACAACAATTCAGTAATAAGAAGACGTAAAATTTCATTTACCCACACATAGCCATAATAAGCGATAAGATGTAATCACTCATGTCGGAACTCCCCAAGTTCAAGGCGCCCTTTTTTAAAGAACTTCAGTTTCCAATCGACACAAAATTTATAAAACAAATAATTCAAAGAAATGTGGATTCATATTATTTTCAAAATAAAATTCCTTCGTTGGAAAAACCTTTAGCAGACAATAACAGTATTGGAACTTTATCAAAAATAACAGGAGAGAAATTGTGGACAATTTTACACGAGTTAGAATTAGTTTGGGAGAGGCACGATAAAATGTGTGCCTACAGAGAAAGACAAAATACTGTTGAAAAGAAAAGATAATCAACTGATATTTTTGTCTGTATGAAACATGGATAAGTGAAAAACATTTTATAAGAAAAGTTTGGGAAGCTAAACAGTTTACAACTGGTCATCAGGCGTCTACTGCAGTAAAATTTCCAACTGGTAAAGGTAGTTGTTTGGTAATCAGTCAAATTATAGGTGAGAAGAAATTGGTTCATTAAGATTTGTTGGAATTTGTTTAAAACTCCAGGAAAAACTATCAAGAAACGACGATATTTCCGAAGATTATATTTTTGTTAAACACTAACTTTTCAGTTTACGTTGTATTGTATTCAAAGTTGGTCAAAACTGAGGCAACAGATATCGATGTTTATAATTTTTCTGCTTGGCAGACCTATATTAAGACCATTGTAACCTTTTGTCATAAATGTGTGTCATCATGCACTTCTAAATCGAATATAAAAAGAACTAATACAACATGGCCATAAAAACCGGATACCTTAAGAATTTTCAAAGTAGATACACAAAAACTAAAGTAAATATCAGTTAAATTAAACAAAAAAATGTTTGAAGCTATCAAAAGCGTACGTTTCTGCAGCTCAAATATAAATAATACAAAAAATTACCTGTTAATACTACGAAGTAGAGGAACAAAGTATCCTTCTTCTTCGGCTCAGTCTGCTCAGGCTTAAACGCTTGACCCGTCTCTACATTTCCTACTGCACTAGGTATATACTTAACCTCTTGCAAGGTACTACTGTGAATGGTGGCTCCGTACGAATTCGAAGACTGTTTTTGATTTGTCATAGTTCATTTCGCGGTAACGATGTGCAATGAACGGAACTTTGGTACTTCGATATTTTAAACTTATTTTTATCACCGAACAAATCCCACTCCAAACAAAGGGTTTAACTCGAGTACTTTCCCGCTATAAAAACACTTTTGCTGATAGGTGTGATTAGTAGTACAAATGGAGAGTAAGCTGGGAAAAAATAAAATGAGTTAGTATAGAAGGTTTAAAGGTTCATTTAGATAAATATTTATTTATTTTTAAATCGAGTCTATACGGCCTGACTAAGAATACCTAGGATTTGGGTCAGGCCACGGAATAAATTACCATCTGTAGTGCCTTAAAACTCTGGTCAGAAAGGCAATCAAATATAATAGGCACCTACTTCTTATTTTTGTTGACTTCTACAAAGCATTTTATACAGTGATAACAGTAGCTATCTTAAAAGCATTGCATCAAAATGCAGAATAGTTCACAGGCAGGCGAATATTATTCGAAATACATATATACGAAAATTCAACAACTATAAACCTACATTGCATGACAAAGAAGATAATAATTTTGTAGCAGCAAGATACTATGCCATTAAAACTATTTATAACAGTCATTTAAACGAAAAGATTGGGACTAAAAGGATATTACCATCGATGGGCAAAAATTGAATGGATTAAATGAATAATGGATTAAACCATCTGAGGTAAGCTGATGACATCGTATTGATAACCGAAAAAAAAAGAAGAATTGTTTAAAATGATGAAAGAACTGGACGTGGAAGCTGGAAAGATAGGCCTTAATATGAATTACAGATGAAAACTTAATTATGAAAATACAGATGAAGACATCACAATGAGGATCGGACAAGATTAAAATATATCTGGGTCAAACTATAAAACCTAACAAAGAAAACCAAACAGCAGAGATAAAAAGAGTTAGACTGGTATGGGCGGCATTTGGTAAACTAAGCTACATTCTTAAAAACAAAATATATCTATAGCATCTTAAGACCAAAGTATACAATCAATGCGTACTCCCTGTTCTCACTTATGGTTCCTAAACGTAAACATTTAGAAAAGCAAACATAAACAAAATCATAAAAACCCAAAGAGCAATGGAAAGACAAATGTTTCACATAATATTAATGGATGAAAAGAAAAACGAGTGGATAAGAGAGAAAACAAAAGTGAGGGATGTTAGACAAGAAGTTGCAAAATTGAAAGGGATATTTGCCGGACACAATATAAGACAAAAAGAAAGAAGAGCGATGGAACAAAGTTGGAGACCGTGGTAATATAAACAAAGCAGAGGAAGTCTCCAAATTGATTGGACACATGATATCAAGAAGCACGTGGGCTCTAGGTAGATGATTCTAGCGACAGACAGAGAAGAATAGAAAAGGATTAGGGAGGCCTATGTCCAAAGATGGACTGAAGAAGGGCATCTATTAGATAGATATATAGGGCAGAAATTAAATCATCTCCAATATGTCGATGACATTGTTCTCATAACAAACAGCTTAGGAGAAGCAAGAGCTATGAACTATAGGAAAACAAAAATGATGAATGAAGAGCGGATAAAATGCAAACAAAGTCTTTAAAAAAATTCGCATTTATTGCACATATTTTTGTAAAATAGATTATGAGACATAAGATTATGAGTATAGTATGCAAATAATTTTTAAAATATGCAGATAATACAACGTGTTTGTTTTAATATTTGAACAATATTTGCAATATTTATACACTAAAACTACTTTTTGATTACTTAAAATTCTATTTATTTATTATAAAAAATAAACAACTATAACAGAAAAGAAGATTGAAACTTAAAATCTAAAATCTGCTTGTATAATTTTACTATATAATAAAATAGTTACTATATTAGTAAAAACAAAAAAAAAATTATAATAGAAATTTTTACTCTTTAATTAATTAATTTTAGTAATATGAAATACAAAAAAAAAGAAGGAATACTTGTGAAAGTTATCAATAATTTGCGGATGATACAGTACTCCTAGCTTCTAGACAAGAAAATCTGCAAACACTACTTGATAGTGTCGTTGAGAGTTGTAGGGAAGCAGATCTGGATCTGAACATACGAAAAACCAAAATACTCGTAGTAAGTAAACAACAGCAAATAAAACAGTCTATATATGTAAATAATACCAAACTTGATCAAGTTGATAAAATCATTTAACTTGGACAGCAATTAAATTGTAACGCAGAAAGTCACGGCGAAATTAGATCTAGGATAGAGCAGTCTGGATTTGCTTGTAGAAGGATGTCCAAGGTATTATGTAACGATCTAAATCGCCTTGAGGCTTTCGAAATATGGTGCTATAAAAGAATTTTAAAAGTTTCCTGGGTGGAGAAGATTCGAAACTCCACAATACTAGAACGTCTCAGCAAGACTACTGAGATCATAAAAAGAATCAAGCAGAAAAAGCTGGAGTATGTAATGAGAGTCCCAAATATAGGTTGCTACAAAATATCATGTAAGGAAAAATAGGATAATATCATGCAAGGACGAAGAAGAACCTCATGGTTAAACAACTTGAGAGATTATTATGGTGTTGATACCAGCATGCTATTTAGGGTGGCAATGAATAAAATTAAGATAGGTATTATGGTCACCAACGTTCTGAAAAGACATGGTACACGAAGAAGAATATGAAATTAGTTCACTATAATAGGTTTTTCAAAATTTTCTACAAGAAATGATCGTCTCTTATCTGTTAATATATGTTTATATAAGGAAAAGCTTCGTTCCATGTCAACTGAAGTAATTGACGCAGATTTTAAATGCGGCAATAAATTTTCTTTAATTTCATGCAATTTAGAAAACACAACCAAACAAAATTTTGAAATATTTTGCAGTATTTTAAATCCTACAATATTTTTAATTCTTCTTCTTCTAGTGCCGTCTCCACTAATGAAGGTTGGCTATAACCATTGCAAATTCGTCCCTACCTTCTGCTTTTCTTAAGAGCGTCTGTGTGTTTAACCCGGTCAAGCCACGGATGATTTTCATCCAGGATATTTGTCTTCTACCAGGACCCATTTTTTCCAAATTACCAAATATGCTGTTGTTCGCCTTTTTTAACGGTGGTTAAAATTCCCCTGTCTCTTCCCTTTCTGTGTAACACCATTTCGTTCGTAATATTATTGGTCCATCGTATCTTCAAAATTCTCCTAAAAAGTGACATTTCAAAAGCTTCCAGTTTTTCCATTAAGTCAACATTAACAGTCCAAGCTTCGATACCATAAAGAAGAATAAAGTGGATATAAAATTTTACCATCCGATATCGGATTTACAGATTGAGTCTTTGGTTACTCAGAAATTTTCTCATGTTCAAAAAGGCTGCTCACACGGTGCAAAATAAAATGTGTTTCACAGTTGTTAATACCTGAGGAACTTTTATGATTTATTAAAATATCAATAACATTAAATATCTTCGAAGATAAGGATACTTATTCCTTAATGACTTACGGATATTGGATTGTACATATTTCGAAGAATTACTAAGAATGAAATTATAGATAAACTCATATGCATTCTCAATTGAAAAATCGTAAAAGTGATTTTGGAAATATTTATTGTGCCGTCATTAAAAACGTAAATGTATTAAGTGATTTACGATAGTAAACTTGTCGAGAATAATAGATCTATTATTAAACCACGATCACAAAATTATAGAGAAATGAATAGAAAGACCTTAGTAATCCCTCCAGGTAGAAATATCGTAAATATGTTTAACTGATAATGCCTAGACTTGAAACGATTTACAGGACAAGGCTCAGATAAATTTGGTCAAATATGCAAATAAATGCTTACAGTGTTTAAAAAGATGCAAATTTTACGAATTCACAAAAAAATGCAAACGATGCTTTAAAATGCAAATTGAATATTATCCACCCTTTAATGATGACGATCTCAAAATGAGCTAAAGAAATTAAGGAATCACCCATAGAAGTGATTGGAGTAAAAATTGACGACAACTATATCCATAGCCCTTTGTTTCCCAATACAATATACTCGAATTAATTGATAAGATCAAGTGAAGATCGCAAATAATCAAATAGCAAGAACATGTCGAAAGACTTCCACAAATGTAAGTGACAAATACCAGAACGATGGAAGGAAAAACAAGACTAGAGGGCCAATAAATAAATTTTGATCAAATAAAAGGAAGATATCGAGCACAGTTTTATTAATTAAATCTTGCCCAAGTACTTTCGCTTCCTAGAGCATCTTCAGGGGCATTTCGTCAAATTTTGGCCTATTCAACAATAATAGAATGTTATAAATATAAAATTGTACATCACACTACACTACACAAGGACAAAATTTTTAAAATGAGCGAAGCTACATTATGGTTGGAAACCGGTGAGAGAATCAACCGGAGAGAATCTCTCCGATTTCTCTCAAATATTCATTCGAGCATTCAACCTTACGTCAATAAATAAATGTCTAAATAGAGTAGAGTTCCAATAAAAATTAGTAAGTTTGCAAAGATGGAAGAAATACCTAACAAAAATATAGAAAGATAACTGAAAGATCGAAATATAATCAAGGAAAGCAACATTGTGCCGCAATGATTCTAAAGATGATTTAATCGTAAGTAAAGACTGGATTATATGCAAAATACATGTGCATATATATGCAGCATATTTTTGGGTTTCTTTATAAATGTATATGCTATTTATAGTTACTTGATTAAGAGCATATTGCCACATATTTGAAAATATCACATAAATAAAATGGTTTTCTATACATATTTAGATAATAGTTTCTTGGAATTATTCATACTAGGTACTAGGTAAGGTAACTACGAAATAATTTTGTTACAAATATCTACTAAACATACAAGTTTTATTGTTTGGGAAAAACCATCTGGAATTATTTATCAGAAGAATAGGGCCAACATGCAGCTAGGTATTATAAAGTAAATTCGTTTTTAAATTCTCTTTACCAGCTGGCAAAGTAACTTGTGATTGTGAATATTGTGCTCATAAAATAAAAATAATTTCTTATTTGAAAATATGCCGAAAGTAGCGAAACAAAAATCAAGTCTATTGCGGAGTTGGGTTGGTGGCAACAGTGAAATGAAGATTATGGGCAATGAAAGTGTTTTCCGTACTATTTGTTATCAAAAGGTGAGTCCACTTACATTTCAACGATTCAAAAATTTAATTTAAAATCTCATTTTTGCAAGAAAATCGGGTTGTACCTATACTAAACATGTAACAGTTTGATTATTGGCGGTAGTTTTAGTTTCGAGAAAAAAATACAAGTTATCTTAAAAAAGTTATTGCATTAGACTCGTATTTACTAAACCGTTTTATTACAGATTCCATGTGAAAAAAAATTCCAAATTTCCCAACACCTGAAAACGGTTCTCCACCAATATAAACTATTTAAGGACTTCAAGAAACCACGCCAGCAGCTTCTGCAGAACAACATTATTTAGAATCATCACACATCGACGGGGCAAGAAATGTTTGCAAAAGATGTATGCAAATTTTTTATAAGTTGCAATATCCCACTGTATAAATTGGATAGAAAGGTGTGTCAAAATTTTTTGAAAACATATTGTAAAGTTGAAAATAAGTCAGTACAGGTACCAAGTTCTTTAACTCTTTGCAAGAAATATGTGAGGGCATCTTACAAAGACGTTATTGAAGGTATTAAAAGCCATGTAAGAGATGAATATCTGTCGACGAGACTACTGACGCCAAGGGTCGGCAAATCGCGAATTTAATTATTGGAGTTTTAAACAGTTCAGTTGATGACGCAATAAGTCGTATTTAATCAGAGTAAAGTGTTTTAAAAAAAATATGCAACAATTGCTTGATTTTTTAATGAATCATTGAATTTGATTCATTTTAGGGTGGCAGAGAAAGTTAGACTAAAGTTTTCAAGTGTAAAAACTTTAATCAACAATGTAAATAAAGTATTTTTAAAAGCACCATTGCGAGTAGAAGTATATAGGGAGATGCTTCTCGATATCCCTTTGCCACCGGAACCAGTGTTGACTAGATGGGGGACATGGTTGAATAGTGCCATATTCCTTGCAAATAATTATATTGGTATCAAAAATGTTATATCAAATTTTGATCCTTCTTCTTGTATTGCTGTTCAGAAATGTCAAAATATTTTTAGTGAGAATTCTGTTCAGAATGAACTGTCCTATATAAAAGCAAATTTTGACATAATTGTAAACTCTATTGCAAACTAGAGAGTTAAAAATTGTTTTTAAATGATAGTATTTGCATTGTTAATTCTGTCAAAGAAAGAATAGTAAACCTTTCATGGACAATTGAAAAAAAATAAAGATAAATAAAGTGAAGTTTTAAACCGGAATGAAGGCTTTTCTTTATTGCGATCAATAAATAACATAATCAATGGAAGCTTTAACAAAGTTATTAATATGCATCCCTCGCTAGTGTCAAATTTTAGATTAGCACCAATTACATCCTGTGATGTTGAAAGATCGTTTTCTTCATATAAACACATATTAACTGATAGAAGGCATAACATTACTCTTGAAAATATTGAACATTTTATGATTATATACTGTAACAGCAAGAGCGAGAACATTTTCTTGTGATTTTTCATTTACATTTTTTTATTAAATGTAGTAATAAATAAACACTCGCTAAGTTATACTATAATTGTATTTCTCACCAAATCTCAAGCCCTAAAAAAATATTTTTTAAGTGAATATATAAATGCATATTGCATATAATAAAGGCATATTTGGTTACTTTTTAAGTGCATGTTGCATGCATATTTTAACCATTTTTTAGAGTTTATAATCCAGTCTCTAATCATAAGTAAGTACTTCAATAGTAGTGTTCGATATTAAATAATATAATGTACAATTCTAGTCAATAATATAAATAATGAAGGTACATAAAAAAATCACGTAAAATTGATTTTAAAAATTACAAATTATGTTTACCGTCATTTTATTGTGTCGGAAATAAACTCACCTAAAATATTTCTTAACCTCAACCACGACTTCACACTTTTTGTTTATTATCGTAATGAAAACTTTGATATTGTGCGTAGCTGAATTATTTACGTATTTTCTGCTCACTAGCGTACTGCACACTGGACTGGTGGGAATTCTGAATGGAATAAATAATAAATTTAGACTACTTTTTCTGTTATATGTTTATAGTAGCTTGTTTATGCATTCAATAGAGATAAAAACATTTTAATAATTTTTATATAGATCGGTTGTTAAGTTGAGTTGTGCAATAATTGTGTCATCGATAAATAATGTCTACAGTTTATATCAGATTGTTTGATGGGACCGTCTTATTGAACTTTTTTATCATTGGTGGAATTCGTAATGTTTGTTTCCTTTCTTCTCCCAATAGGATGAGTTATAAAGGCAGAGATTGGACGTTATGATTCCAATCTAGCTATTAATAGTAGGTAGTTTAGTTGCCTTTGAGTAGATAATTTTGGTTGCCTGTTTTGGTAAATATACCTAATCTTCTTCATGCTGGGTTTACATATTGTTTATACGTAGAGTAAGTCCGGGAGAGATGGCTCGTCGCAATTGCATTGCGGTTTTTGATCCGTGTGTATGGTATTAGCAATACTCTGTTGTCTCCGTGTTTTTCTCAAGGGTGAAAGGTAAGATATTTGGAAATTTTTATTTACATCTTCCTAAAACGTTTTTCGGAGATAGTCAAAACTATTGGGTACTTATTTTTGTCTGTGTTTTATCGAAGTCACGTTTTGATCGCATGTTGTTTGTGTCGTTGAGGTTATGTAGGCATAGTTGCCAGTTCTCTCAAATTTTACCAACACACGGAAATTAAGTGGGCCATCTCACCCTGACAATTCGGGTTAGTTGGTTCGTAAATGTTAGGGAGATATGGCCTAGCTCTTTAATTACTTATATAAGGATACTTTTAATAGATAAATTTATTTTCAGCCATGTCAACGAAATATAACAGAAAAGAAAATTGTCAACGTGGTTTATCGACTGAAAATCAACTCGAATCAGCCATACATGCCGTAAGAAGTAGACAAATGGAGGTCAATGCTGCCGCCAGGAATTTTGGAGCAAGTAGTGTTCTCGGCGAAGAAAATGAAAATAAAATAAAGAAACATATTATAAAGTTGCAGAAAGCTGGTTTTGCACCTACAAGAGCTGGAGTTAGAGAAATGGCATTCATATTAGAGGAAGAATTACATATTAAAAACTACTTTCAACCAGGAAAAAAAACTTTTTGACTGGTTACAATCATTGCTAAGAAGAAACCCTGACTTGAGTATAAAAAAAAACGAAAGGCGTATCCTTAGCAAGAAGTCGAGGCATGAACAAAAAGGATGTAAGCGATTACTTTGATCTGTTAGAGCAAGATATTCTAGAAAATGAGTTGATGGAAAATCCAGAAAGTTTACTTAACATAGACGAAACAGGACTCCACCTCAATAAACCTAGACAGTAAGATACAGACAGTCAAAAAAATGTGAGCTATCTCTCCCGGACTTACCCTAATATCTTTTTCTTCCGTATTTTTTATTTGCTAGCTCATGTAACAGAGTAGGTGTGATTAGCAGACTTGTATTAATCCTTTTTAAATAATTTAGAACTATATTTAATAGATTATATTTAATATGCTGATAACTCGATAGTTTTCGTAACTATTAGGGTCACCTTTTTTAAAAGGTGATCTTTGTCCGGTATTTTGGAGTTTAACCTTCTACTACTCATGTGATGCCAACATGACCTCAAACTAAATTCAAGTTACGCAAATTTTTTTTATTGTTGTTCTTATAGGTCTGTGACTTTCGAACTGTCTAGTGAATTTAGTAATTATTTTTTTGCGAAGTTAGTTACTTTTTGACAGACTAGAAGTGGCTGGAAATTACTATATAATTAAGCCCACGTGATCATAGCGTATTTCATTAGAGTATTTCATCAAAGTTTTTCTGTAAACTTATACTAATATTCAATTATTCCTATTCCTATTCCAATCAGAAACTAGTTTTGGACGAGCTAGGATTTTACCTTTTTTATCTAACGTACTTTATTATGTAAATTATATAACACAATATTAAGTAGGTTTTGTGATTATATGTACCTTAAGCAAGATTTTTTTAAACAAGTATTACAAATACAATATTGAAGTAATATTTTTAAAATTTACACTGGGGTGGGTATAAACTATTGTAGTCCGTGGGACCTTGGACTTTTTGGAAATTAGGTGCTTATCGTCATTCACCTGTAGCTGTATATCCAACTACACTGTTGACGGTTTATCACTCTTTTATATATGAAGTTGAATGAATTTTGCCTACTTGTTTGTTCTAGACCAGTTGAACCGCCCGTAAATTAGTGGGTTGGTACTCTTAACCTTGCTGTTCTGTCGAAGAATTTTCGACCTTAAGGTTGGCTGTCTGTTCATGTCATTGGCTCGATATCTTTTAATTAACGCCATTTCAACCGCAACAGGTGCCAAGCATACAGTGGTAACTTCACTTTATATCTTTTTTTTTATATATATTTTTTATATCTCAATGTAGATAACTTAAATAATGCTACCAAAAGTTAAGATGAAGTCATAAAATAAAATTTTTTGCATAGTTGGAAGTGAATCAATGATTTTCTTAGTTCTTTTTCACTAGTTAATATTATATAAAATATTATATGCTTATTAGACCACGTGTTCTGTTGCTTTACTAATTTTTAATAAGTCTCTAAATGTTGTTAGTTATTTAACACTTTAACTCCTGGGCCTATTTATCTGCATAAGTTGTCACAGCCTGGCCACTTTTTTTTTTCATGTTCTCTAATAAAATGCTCTATATGTATGTGTTAATTCATATAATGACATTTTTTTTATTTTAAAAGGGCTTTGTAGGGTGTGTTTATTTTTGATACACGCAGTTTATGTAGACGACTTTTCATAATGTCATTACCCATAGCCTAGATGTATTGAAATTGATACACATTATTTATGAAACTTTATTACGAAAAAACATAAGCAAATATCTTAACAAATTATTTTAAATATACATTAGTGTGCTGTAATATATAACACATAGTCCTCTTTTGTCATATTCTTCCAGCCTATGGTGTGTTTGTTGAGGGTTTGTAACATTATTGTCTTTGCAAATGGCAGTCACTAATTCTTCGCGAAATTGTGTTACATCCATTTTTGTGTTCAAAGCTTTGTTATATAGGATTAAAGCATTCACTATGGCTGTATTTGTCAGTAACTCTATTCCCACTTTCCGATACCATTTTATAGAACGTCTGATGGGATTACTGTAGGAAGCTTTTTGATCAGAAACGTCAATGTAAGATTTAACAGAATTATATTCTACTATTGTAGACGATTTTCTTTTTATTCCTGATTTTGTACGAACGTCGACCATTTCTGGACAAGATTTTGTAGTCAAAAATGTTACCTCTCTTTTGTCGATCCATTTTCCTACAATAACTTTTGTGTTGCTCTGTAGGGCCATCATATCTCCTTTATTTAGCTTTGCTTCAAACACCGACTTAGGATTGTATTTCCTATTTTTACGAAGTGATCCAACTAGATGAATATTGTTATCATTTAGTTCGTGTGCCAAACTGACACTAGTATAAAAATTGTAACCAAAGTTCTTCCTGAGTGTAGAAAAGGTTGCATTAATTCCATGACCACTAGGGATGCTAGTGATTGTTCCTTTGGTCTATTTTGCTTTCCGCCATAAATTTTTGCGTGATATATGTAGCCGCCTTTTCCGCAGAGTTTGAAAACTTTTACGCAATATTTATTACGTTTGCCAGGTATGTACTGTAAAAATGACAGACGTCCTCTAAAGGGAATCATCGATTCATCAATGCAAATGTATTTGCCTGGTACCAAAGCAGATTGAAAACTTCTATTGAACGCCTGCAATAATGGTTCAACTTTGAACAATCTGCTTCCTTCAGGACAAGCTTCATTATCTGAAAAATGGAAGCAAGCAAGAAGAGCCTCAAATCTACACCTCGACATGTTTGTTGTCTTGTATATTGAGCAATGATGGATAAAATTAGTGCTCCAGTAATCTCGTAGTCGTGATTTTGTATTCAAACCCATCCATATTAAAATTCCCAAAAATTTTAATATTTCTTCTCTGTTAGTATCATTCCAGTTAGTGAGATATGAATTTGTCTTAATGTTTTCACGATTTATAGCATCAATAATTTTTTGTTCAGCATATCGATTTGTTTCCTTCACTAAAATATCGAGTATCTCGTCTGTTAGGAGCAGTCTATAAAACGTTAAAGGTGTATCATTTTCCCTACTTTCTACAACTGTACCAAAAGAAGTATTTTCATGTATAACGTCAAATGTATTCAAATTTCCATCAACATTGTTCCATATAACATTTGCCTGTAAATTCCCTATACGAGGATTTACCATATCTATATTGTTTACATCTTCAATTTCAGATTCACTTTCGCTTATTTGCAAATTAAACTGTTCATGTTGAATTCTAGGTTGACTTGTAACATTATCATCCTAAAATAATTCAAAATTAGATATAACATTTGAAATTTATACGGAACTATAAACTTGCCTTAAGTGTTTCCATTTTCTGCCGTTTTGTTTGTGGTTCATAATCTGAATCTGAAGAGTATTCAAGGGTATCAGAACTATCAGTGTATAATGGATCGACATCTGAATCATCAAATTCACAATCACTTATTTCGCTAAGATTTTCAGCCAGATGCTCAAGTTCATGTAGAGAAAGGTTTCTCTTGTTATTTTTAGACATTGTACATAAAAAAACCCGACTACAATGAAGGTCTAACAGTGACTGGTATGGTGGTATGCCACTATTGCAACTCGACAATTTCGTATCTCCAAATTTTATCTACAATGTTGCCAATTTTAATATGCTAGGATTACCGAACTAACCTTGAAAATTGGTTACCACAGCCTAAAGGAATGATAATACACGTATAAATACACTACAACTGCGTTCGGACCACATACACAGTTGCTTGAATGCGTTCTACTATTGTGTATCAAATTCATACACACAGGCTCAGAGAGAGTACCTATTGTGTATTATGTATGATACAAGGAGTCAAAGTGTAAATTGTTTA